AATGGTGCTATCTGGGCCCGGTTGTACAAAGGGTGAATGGTGCTATCTGGGCCCGGTTGTACGAAGGGTGAATGGTGCTATCTGGGCCTGGTTGTACGAAGGGCGAATAGTGCTATCTGGGCCCGGTTGTATGAAGGGCTATCCAATGGATAAATCCTATCCAGTTGGGTAAATTTATTGGATAACAGCGCATATTGTTATCCACTACTGGATAGGATTTATCCATTAGATAGCGCTATCCACCCTTCGTACAACCGAATCCTGGGCCCGGTTGTACGAAGCCTCCATAGTCCTATCAGTGGATAAATTTATATTGGATAACCACATCAACTTATTCACTAGATAAGGATTTATCTGCCAGATAGCGCTATCCACCCTTCGTACAACCGAGCCCTGATGGATAAATCGTTATCCAGTGGATAACAATATGTGCTGTTATCCAATAAATTTATGTACTAGATAAGATTATCTATCGGATTGCGCTATGCACCCTTCATACAACCGGGCACAGGTTATCATTTTATACAAGTAGCTCATTTGGACTATCATTAGTAAGCAAAGCAAACAAACTTATATATTGCTATGATACTGCTAACATCACATGTAATGCCCAAATCATAAATTACGTACAAGTTGCAGTGTTCTCACCTGATTTAAAAATCCTAAAAACATTTCATCTTGGGCCAGCTTGGGATGTGCTGCCGCTCGAAGTAAGAAGTTCTAAAAAGAGCAGACATTAATACAACTGTGTTCATACAGACACAAGTATCAAGGTTGGCAAAGTGGTATCGAGTGCACTTGTCTCGGGTTTAATTCTGAAACTTAGCATTGCATAATATGAGTAGAGTTTCTTATGCCTGGTTCATAGGAGCACCGCAAACGCAAACACAAGCAATGTTTACACGTGCAACGCAAATGCAAGTAAATTAAGATACGCATGCGCAGTAGCTAAGTTCACACATAATTTCCTTGCGTTTGTGTTGCTCGTGTGAACCATCAATTTGATTTTTGATGGCTTGACTACTATGTCTTGCGTTTGCATTTGCGTTTGTGTTACTGCAGTTCACACGTATTTTCCTTGCCTTTGTGCTTGTGTTTGCGTTGCTCGTGTGAACCAGGCTTAAGAAACTCTACTCATATTATGCAATATAATATGCCTAAAGCCTGGTTCATATTATGAACCAGGCTTTAGGTCTCTCACTCGATTTGAGGTTTTCCAATACTGGTTAATTATCAATTATTTGTAAAATATTTCTGCAGTGGTTTAAAGAAGAATGAATTCAATTAAACTTTCATACTCAGTGATCAATGATGGCCAAACTTGTCAAAATCATAGATTCAATTCTGGATTTAATCTACACTTGGAAAAACATATATATGAATATAATATGAGGAAGCTCAAATTTTCTTATGCAATTACATTCCAACATATTGTCTAATGCTTCCTTTATCTATGAGGACTTTGTGCACACCCCTCCCTAAAGTCTTCCTTCCTGTATAATAATTCCAAAACCGGCTCAACGCCTTTTATTTTTATTATGAAGTAGTTATTGCCCTCTTATCTAATCAATGAAAATGCCCTTAGTCTTACCTCTAGACCTATTCTTCTTTTCTCAATGAAATCTGGATCAAATCGATCAGTAGCAACTTTGATTACACCTGCCTGACAAAGAATAACATAATCAAAAACAAAACAAAACAAAAAAAATTTAAACAAAAATAAATCTTTGAAAAAAGCCATCTTGAAGTCCAAATTCTATATTTATTGAAGTCCAGTGTCCTAACCTTTGCATATGTAATAATATGTCCCAGACAGTTATCTGTCTTAATCAACACCACCATGCTGCTGGTATGAGCAGTAGGATAATAAAAAATGTAAACAACTCTCAAAGTTTAAAGCACGCACTAAAAAAATGTCTATAATCAGGGATTCACCTTTCCGAAATCCAACAGAGGACTGGAAAAGAAATCGTGCAGCACAGAATTTAGGGGCTGAATTTAAGAACAAGAACAAAAGGTGCCACCATTTAGCTTTGGATTCTGTGATTGATTTTAAGGACAAGATAGAAATCATGCCCATTATTTTTTAGAATTCCAGAAAGGCGAATTGAAGCATTTGTAGGCATTCAAAAAGTCAGAGAAAACAAGTAAAAAATTAGAAACAGGACTCCTGCAGACTGCAGTGTCAAGATATTAACTAGTTTATATTTACTGTTAGTAGTGTACTTACTCTCTTCTCAGGCAAAGGAGGCACGATGATCTACCAAGATACAAAAATGTACATATTAATCTATTTTCATAATCTTTTTATGATACCAATAATTTCAGTATTTTCTGGGTAGGAGGGGGAGGGGGGAGGGGGAAGGGGGGACGGGAAGCAAGGGGGACCCTTGCAGCAGTATAGGGTGGAAAACAGTACTGTACGTGGCCTTTAATAAAGCTAGAGGTACAATCCTTAGGATTTCCACATTTTTTCTAGCCTGTACAGCTTTACCTTTAAATACCCTGTATAAGGAGCACTCATGATAGTTGGAGTGGGTAAAGGGTGCACCTTTGAGTGCTTTATAATACAAGAGCTACTGGCTCGGGAGAAAAGTGCAATAACTCCCATTGTTAAATTGAACCTTAATTACCCTCTTTATTTATAAGGAGAGCAAACTAGCTAATCAAAAACTATCACCCTCTCCATATGAATTTATACTAGTGGGTCTGCAGGGCTCTAAATAGCTGTCTGCCAATTGTTAAAATGAAAGTCAAATTTTACTACAGACAGGCTTGAAGAATTTCGAACTGCAAATTGGTAAACATCTTGAATGATAGGGAAAATAATAAAATAAAATAAAAAATGTCAAAAACATGTCTGGCCATTAAAAATTTCTATTTCAAGCCTTGGTCTCAGAATTGATGCCACATTATATACAAATACATCAGTCAGAGATAGTGTAGAACCAGTGCACCTTACTTTAGTCTGTTATTCAATACACTTATTTTCCATGTTATAAAACAACATGACTGCTTATGCACAAAATGGCTTACTTCTGGATAGGTTGCAACAAGGTAGTTCCGTAGAAGTTCAAATTCGCTGTAACGTCTCCACAGATTGCATGACATATCAAGTTCCCCAGCTGGTGGCCCTCCATCGATATATCTAAGTTTATAAACAAATTTAAAAATCAGCAATTTACTCCATGACCTACTGTACAGTATTAATGACAGTCACTGTAACTATAATTAATTATTAGCAATGGTAAATAAGGTGTGGCGTGGCATTTTCTGGTTGACAGCACATGGTGGTCAGTGTTTGACCAAAAGTTGAAGAAGATACATTTATAACAAAGAAGATACAAAATTAGGACATTCAAAGACTTTTATCAACTGATTCAAACCCAGCAATATCCACTTATTTTCAGTCAGAACTTTCCAATCCAACACTATATTACTCTTTGTATATCAAGCCTACTGCAAGTATCTCTATTGTTTTTAATTTAAGCCTCCTACCCCAACCCTTTTCAAGAAGTGCTCCATATGGTCCACAATTAGCTCCTCACCCTCCAACCACACCCTTTCAAGTGGGATTCATATGGCCCATGATAAGCCCGCTTCCCCCTCCAACCACACCCTTTCAAGTGGGATTCATATGGCNCCAACCACACCCTTTCAAGTGGGATTCATATGGCCCATGATAAGCCCGCTTCCCCCTCCAACCACACCCTTTCAAGTGGGATTCATATGGCCCATAATTAGCCCCCTTCCCCCTCCAACCACACCCTTTCAAGTGGGTTCATATGGTCCGTGATTAGCCCCCTTCCCCCTCCAACCACACCCTTTCAAGTGNTCCCCCTCCAACCACACCCTTTCAAGTGGGTTCATATGGTCCGTGATTAGCCCCCTTCCCCCTCCAACCACACCCTTTCAAGTGGGTTCATATGGCCCATGATTAGCTCCCTTCCCCCTCCAACCACACCCTTTCAAGTGGGTTCATATGACCCATGATTAGCCCCCTTCCCCCTCCAACCACACCCTTGCAAGTGGGTTCATATGACCCATGATAAGCCCCCTTCCCCCTCCAACCACACCCTTTCAAGTGGGGTTCATATGGCCTATCATTAGCTCCCTCTCCTCAACCACTCCTTTTTCAGTGGGGCTCCATATGGTCTGTTATTAGCCCTCTTCTCCCAAACCACACCCTTTTTAGGGGCCTCTATACGGTCTATGATTAAAAATTCTAATATTGCTAATGCATTATTACTGGTAAATTCACAAATTCTCTATCTTCCAGACTCTTCAGCATAAAACCAAACAAAAACTTATTAATTTCCTTAAATTATCAATATATATACAAGATCTCTATTTATAGACTTCTTGTACTAATTCCTACTTTCTGGGGGTCAAAACAAAAGAATTCCCTTCTTTTTGGAGAGGAAATCCCTCTTGATGTTAATATTCCTTATTGTTTTGACAGCTACATGTACAGCTGGTAGGGGTTTTGTGCTAGGGGTTCAAAGAGGAAGGCAAATTAACTAGTTACAGTTATATAAAATCTAACAGGTTATGCAACCCAACTGACAAGGCAGCTAAAGGATGGAATCATAATTTAGAAATTAATTTTGTGTATAGAGAAAACAATCTAACACAATATTTGATCAATCAATTTGAGCCAATCGATCACAATCGAACACTTTCAATGTTCAATTCTTAAGCCGCAGCTGATCAAATTGGGATGCAATCAAAAATTCCATTTTGTTTGGGAAATCAAATGCAATTGAAGTCTGTTATAATTTTTTAGCAATTTGATTTTGTTTGATCTAATTCAATCCTGTGGTTGCTTTTGACTGAATTCAATTTCAAAATCATTCTGTTGATCACACCAGGTTTTATGTCATTCTCATCATCATAGCCCATCACTGTTCAACATTTGTGTAAGTGCAGTTTTCGAAATACCCTGAAAACTTCTGGTTTTTCACTGTCATCAAATATCAAAAATCATCAGTTGGTAGTTGATATTTATGACTGGTGCCAGTAAAAGCGAACGAACTTCACTACGAGCTGTTGAAATGTCTAATCATGACTTCGCAGAATATCGAAAACCGAAGTTTATTTATCTTTTTTTTTCTTGGGACAACATTTACTTTCTAATCATTTCCAATTAATAACATGAGATATAGTTCAAACATATATTTAGACTTTGGCGTATTAAATCCAAGAAAATAAAAAAAACAAACAAAGATTGAGAAATACGGTACAGCGGAGTCGCTATTTTAGTGTATTAAATTATATGTTTACATTGACATTCATATAGTTAGTAAATAAGATAGTAATCTTTTGGATCACGCTTAGATCACGAGTCTTGGCACAAATCTTAAGTGAAGCTTGATCTATAGAAAACTTATGCCAAATTAAGAAAAACGTAATCATCCTTGGCATACGATATGAGAGAAAGCTTACAATCTGCATGTCTTCAATATAAAACGAACCCACATTAGAATAAGTTCAAACTTTGATACGTAGTCACACAACAAAGTTTCCCAAATTATCACTCTGATACTAGTAGATGAATTCCAATAAAGTTTTAGTCTTGTTAGAAAATAATTACATCATCTCTAGCTCAAAATAAAGCTGAGTTGAAGGGAAAAGCGCATTTACAGCTGCTTACAGAAGAGCCTTTTCGCTAACGTGACTCGTAAAACAGTTTTGAATCAAGCGCTACTCAAATGCGTAGAAGAGATCAAGAATCTTCGAAAGATTTACGAATCGTACTCACTTGGTCTCGATCAAATAAACGGTATAAGGATCTTTTATATAATCGCTAGTTCTCTTTTCGGAGTCTGTGATGGAGATGATCATTGTGTTTAGGAGACTGCCTTCCGGAAAATAGTGCAGTCCTTCTCCGCCTTCGCCTTCACCCAGGTCGGCCATCTTGGATGCTGGTACTACGCATGTGCATCGGCTATTGCTATATAAACGTGCTCAAATATCTTTGGGGACGGGACGGAGGGGAAGAAACACAATTCCGTTTTGATTCTCCATTTCTAGTCTTTATCCTTTCGTTCAAGGATATATAATAGAAATTATTTTTTCTTATATACTTATACATCAGGAAGTTTCTAAAGTATTAAAATAATAGGATTTTGTATTAATGCATAAGAAGCTTTTGTCCCTCCCCCTGAGAGTAATGTTGGGCTGTACGCCAGCGGTAACCTTTCTTGAAGCAAGATATATTTTATCAAAATGGCAGACAGAGGAGAGAAGACTTCTGAGAAAGGATTTTTAGCTCGCACAGCTAGTATTACATCAAAAAGAGCCAAACGTGCAGGAGAGAAGGTATATCTTAACTCTTCAGCTCTTGTACGAGTTGAAAAGATTAGTATTTGTAGTATTATAGCCGTAATATTTTGACATTTGGGTTGGCAAGTTGTGAGCTCAAATTTTTAAAGTGTTCTCGGGTGTAGTGCACCATTGCTGCGCTACTCTGTCCCCTGTACTTTCTTCTTTCACTTTTACTCTCTTAACAGTCTTCTATTGTTCAATCCTCTACTCTTTAGGTCAAGCAGAAACTAGGCAAAGCAAACGAGACGAAAGATGTGACCTTCGATGAATTCGTAACCAACTTCAACAAACAACAGGTTTGTACACAAACTTGAACTAAAGCCCTTTTGTTTTTATATTCTTTATTTTGTTGTTATTTGTCTAATCGTTTAATTTAGGCGATACGTACGTAAGTAGTTTATAGTATTATCGAAGAAAACATTAGGATCTTTTTTAAATGTTCGCCGAAGCATGTAGTTTAAGCTCCACAGGAAGTCCCCTCTCATTTTAAGCAAAATTGATTTTCTTCACACCTTTTTGTATAATTTTTTGATCGAACAAAGCTGTATTCAATAAGTAATGACACTATTTATTCTTTTTCCACGACCAGTTTTAAATATCCAATCTCGTAAAAAATTTTGCGGTAAGATTTTGCATAATTGAGCTTTCAAAGCATCGTAAACTGTAAACTCGTACACATTTGTAAAATGTAATAAAGCTAAACTATATACTGTAATGGACTGAATTAGGTCAAACGTCGAGCTTTGTATCAGCCTTACCTGTTGACATAAAAGAAGATCCCCTTATTATCCATCGTTTGCAATCAGTACGGCTCAGTGAAGTTCAACATTGGAGCTGAGCCTTTTTGTAACATTTAAAAAATGTAAAATATAATAATTCTTCAGCATTGGTTGTCAACAGTGGAGATGGGGATGAGCGAGATGGAGGAGCGAGATGGAAAAGCATTGCTTCCACCCCCCTTCCCTCTAAAATTCATTTCCAATTTATTTTACTTTTGGCATAAAAATGTGAGGGAGGAATTATATTTTGTTCCAAATGAACAGGATAACTGTAACACCCTGTGTGACTAAATGTATCTGTCAACGGCTCGAATTCTTGGAATTGCTGTGGATTTGGCAGGAAATTTCATGTGGAAATAAAGTGCGCCCTCATAACTAGCTATTAGCCATTCTGAGGTTAAAGAAAAATAGCTTGATTGAATTGAAATTGCAGTGCATTATGGCGAAGTCATAGGGATGAAATAGATGCTATCTTCTAGCTGATCTAAGACTTCAACTTCAACTTCTTTTATTTACACTCAATTAATATTATTAAGAAAAATGTTTGAAATATTATTTATAATTTTTTTTCTTTATCTTGATACAATATTATATGTAATCTAGCAAAGTTGGTGTCAATAAACTTGCACTTGTGGTAACTTTTGCAGGCTTCAAGTTGTTTCCAGCGACATCATTTCCACTTCCCTATTTGAGATCAGCTAGTTGGAAATATTGACCACTATAATAATGGCCCCACACTGCACTGCATTGCTAACTTTACCCAGTAGTTTCCTCAGCCTTGGAATGACTAAACGGGACTTCCACTGTGCTGTGATTTGATGTTTATTATAAATATTATTTTGCATTCAATTTATTTCAATTTTTTTTGGTACTATTTTAGGCTGCAGCCCAGAGACTCCAGAAAGATTTCAAAAATTATAATGCTTGCATTAAAGGTATATATTGCTGAGCAATACACACATTGTACTGACGTTCAATAGCTGTTCCATTCCAGGTGATCTCGTGCACACACTTTTGTTGCATTGCCTACAAGCCTACAATGAGGACTGGACGGGATTTCAAGTCTAAGCAATTAGTTCCAGTTCCGGACTGGAACTAACTGCGCGGACTTGAAATCACGTCCAGTCCGATATTGGAGGCTTTGAAATGACTTCTCATCTCATTAATTATTCGACTTAGAGTAACTGGAACAAAATTAATTCAGTCCTAGGACTGAATTAATTTTGTTCCAGTTACTCCAGACTGAATGCGTTCCTTTCACAGCACTTTACCAGGTTTCAAGTAACATCATGTGACCCAAAAAATAGCCCATTGATTGGATGGTTTACTCATGAATTATTAATGAGTATGAGAAGAAATATTGAAGTTCCATTGCAAAATATGACTCCATATGACTACATCTTATGAATTTTAAACCTCAGCCAGGGCTTGAACCACTGACCTCTGTGAGTGAAAGTCTGAAGCACTTACCACTGCGCCACCAAGATATTATGAATTAGGAGACTGGGTATTAGGAACCATTGGATTTGACAAATAATCCTTTGCGAACTTCGAGGCACGATCACCTGATTTATCCTACTCCTTGGGATACCTATTGTGTAGGACATCACATCTGGATTTTCATGTGACATTCATGTTTTATTTCTATCAGCAATGATAGCAGCAAGTTTAGAGTTTGGTGAAGCCATTAAAGAAGTATACGAGCCAGACTGGGCCAGTAGAGATGTGGTATTTAAGCTACTCGATGTAAGCATTGGATAGTTTATTTAGTTTATTCTAAATAAGATCTTTTTTTCTTCAATTCTCATTGTAAATCTTTCATACACATATGATGTTCCCTCACCCCCCATCCCCACTACGCTCCTGTAAAATTCAAGGTAATTAAAGATCTAGAGGGCATAGATGTAGTGGACTGTCGTAATACACATAATACTTGAGATGATGCTAAACTACTCTATGATGATTAATACAGTATTATGATTATTAATACAGTTTTGAAAATGATTGAATTCAAATTTAAGCCAATAAAAAAGCTTGTTGTTGTTATTCATGCATACAGATGCTACACATGCATTGGACAGAACTACAAGAAAAGCTGCAGGATGAAGTACTGGGTCCTTTAACAGCATATCAAAGTCAGTTTCCAGATATTAAGGTACTGTATACAGTATGTTATGGGGAAAACACATCTGCAATGAAATGTAAACTTGTAGAACAAATTAAGCCACCGATCTGCAGCATAAGCCTGTAGAACAAATTAAGTCACCGATCTGCAGCATGTCTGTGTGTTGTCAGCCATTGACTGACCCAAATTTTCACTTACTTTCTTCCACTACAGTTGGAATGTGCTGTATAATATTTTAACACCACAAGTTTTACATCACAAATGCTCATGAAGTGGCTTTGTTTATAATGGTCAAAAAAATACTTTTGTACTATACATAATAGATCAAAAACGAGTGCGAGTGTTTGATCAGGGCATCCAAACACCGAGAAACAGATGAAAGATGAAGCACAAGTTTTTAAACTTACTTCTCAGTCTCATCATAATTCATTTGTTCTTGAATCTCCTGAGACTAATAAAGTGATCAGTGTTTTGATCAGTGGACATCTTGATCCGTTTTTGATCAAGTATCAAGGTGCGTGCACGTGACTAAAATGCAAAGTCACCATTAGTCATTGACCTCATGAATTATTAATGAGTTTGAGAAGTGATCCATAAATGATTTTACCATGAGCCATCTTTTAATTGCATACTGTACACAAGAGGCATTAATTAGTCTCCCTAAACCATTTTAACTTTAGACTGTATCAGGACATAATACCAACATTAACATACAACTTTGTTCCATTTTCTAGGCAAGAATAAACAAGCATGGTAGAAAGCTGGTTGATTATGACCGTCTAAGACATAACTTCGAGGTAACAAGATGTCCACTTCATAAGTATGGCGATACATGTATTATAATAATAATAATATTAATAATGATAATTATTATTATCATTATATATTATCAAAGGGGTTTAGACCACCCAAGAACTGTCTTTTAATTCATTTTAATTTAGCACCAAAGCATGCTGCTGTGACTTAGTAGCTTTGGTAGTTTTAAATGGGGTAGGAATCATTGCTGATTGGACATAAACAAATAAGTTTTCATTAATCTGTCATACTGTAATACAAATATTGACATGCAGATGCAGTCAAGACTTAATATACTGCAAATATTCATGCACAGTAATGTAGCATTCATGGGCAAGAATGATAGATATGTGTAGCAATTTTTAAGCATACTGGTTTTCATAATTTAATTGCAGTCAGGCGTCATGTATATTATGACTTTTTAAATGCTTACAACATATATAGATCTTCCAATCCATGATCACAGATCTTCAGTATAATGAACGTTTATACACTGTACATACACAAGATTTTGAAAAAGCTAGCCCTTGCCGTTAGGTTTTAATAGAGACTTATGATTATTATATAAAATATCTATATTGTTTACTTTTTGCTTATTCTAAACATAGGCATTTGTTTATTTTACAGGCACTCAACTCCAGAGGGAGAAATGCAGATCAGAAAAAATTAACACAGGTTAGTATGGAGCCAACATCTTTAAAAATATATTATATTACTGTATTACTGCCATTTCCATAAACATAATAACTTACTAGCTGTGAGCTTCATACTGAAATTAGTTTTTTTGCCGATGCCACCCAAAAATACGAAAGGTACCGACTGATTAGTTTTGATTGACGATGCCAGCAAAAAAAAAAATTTCAGCATGCAGAGCTCACATCTGCCAAGTTCACATGTTTATGGAAATGGCAGCAATAAGATAAAATTTTGCATTTTAATCTTTGAGTATTCATTGCCTTAATTGTTAGCCTTCCAGTTTTTAAACTATTAAATCATAGCTTTATTAATTATTAAATTTTGGCTTGCTATCGCAGTCTCAAGAAGAATTCAGTGAAGCTAAATCAGTGTATACCAAACTGCATGCTGAACTGTACGAAGAACTCCCAGCTCTATACGACAGGTATCAGTATGGACTACAGTACCTATTCTCCCATTCCCTAGCATTAGCCAAGTATCTATCAAATATCTAGTGGTCAATCATTCCTTTGCTTATAAAGGGCTGTCAGTCATTTTTGGTCAGTGATTGTGAATGGTGATGGTCACTTATTAGAATTAAATCTTACTTCTACAATTATACTGACTTCCCCTCAGGTTGCCGAAACATCAGTCATTACCAACAACAGTCTTTCTCAAGACTACACTCACCCAGACGATCACAAAATTCACAACAAATTATACTTATTAGGACAGCTGGCCATGCTTTAAAGCTTTTTGAAAAACAAACTGAGATTAAAAGCAATAGGGTGGGGATGGAGGACATTCTGGGGAAAGATTACATGTATATATACCCTGTCCCCAGATCTATGGATCCATGTAGACAAAATCTAGCTAGAACTTGAATTTTGCCTTGCCTTGTTTTGTTTTGTTTTGTTTTGTTTTNCTCTAATTATAAACGTAACTTTCCTTATATCCTTTTTTCTTTTCATTCCCATATTTCCTTTTACTCTTGTTTGTTTGTTTTTTGTTTTTGTTTTGTTTTGTTTTGTTTTGTTTTGTTTTGTTTTGTTTTGTTTCGTTTTGTTTCATTTCGTTTCGTTTCGTTTTGTTTTGTTTTGCACATCCAGAATTTTGATTTTTAATTTTGACCATCCAGAAATGCAGTATGATCTAACTAAAACGAAATTGGCCAGTGATCATTAATCACCCAAAATAAGTTTCTGTCCAGAAACCAATTGAAGAAATTCATTGCCACTTCTATTTAATATGCTGTATGTTTTACTTCCAGTCGGATTGCATTTTATGTGTCGTCATTCCAAAGCATTTTCAATGCAGAGGCATTGTTTCACAGAGAAGCTGCTAAGGTATCTGATTTCATTACTGACTAGTTACTGATTATGGTTGGAAGGGATCTAGAGGGACTTTGGGGTAAAAGTATTGGGTATGCTCTTGAGAGATTTTCAAAAGTACCCCTAAAAGATACCAAAAGCCTGGGTGTGGTTGGGCGATTTTTAACCTCTAAGATATTTGTAAAAGATGCCAAGAAATGCCGAAATTCTCAATTTCAAGTTTAACACCCTAAAAGATACCAAATTGCTGATTTTTACCACTAAGAGATGCAAAAAGAATACCTGGCACTTTTACGCAAGAGTCCCCCCAAGACCAGATGCTGAGGGAAGGGGATCAAAAATTGAGATTTTTGAGGAGGGAGAAAATCTGTAGAACCAGCAGAAAAAACCACAGGAAGTAAAGGAGAGAACTTACACACAATTCTACAGTTTACATCTAAATATTTTCTTATTGTGTTATCAGATCAAGACGCAGATGAACGATCTTCTTGATGGTCTTGTTGTTGAGGCATCATCAGGGACTCACACTACTAGAAGACCTTTTCAACTTTCAAGGTTAGTACTTTTTGCTGCCTTAGTGTGTTGCCCAGTGGATCTGCCTCTTAGTATTACTGAGGCTTTGCACCACCAAGTGTGTGCAGCCATGTTAGATGGCAGAAACAATGCAATGGTTTTACATGAGAAATAATTCAATTCACCTTTTCAGCACTAGCTTGGAATGTGTTAAAGTCACCAAAAAGTTCGGATATTGTTTTCAGTATGTTAAATATTAGGGTTTTTTCATTTGTTTGTAGTGCTAACCCAGTCTCTGACAGTGATGATGCTGAGCAGCTATCCAACTCAGGTCAATTAGAACCTAACCAAGAAAATGTGGTCACATCTAATGAAAACCAGATGAAACAAGAGGAGTCTGAAGGTAATAAAGTTGTACTATTTTGTACTACAGATGTCACCAAACTGGGTTTTCACACCAGAAAAACATGGCCCAGGCACGTACGCCTTTAAGCTTGTATATCTCTTCCCACAAGCATCATTTAGTCTGCATTCCTTTCCTCATGTGTAGGCATCCTTCTGATGATTTTCTTTCCAACATTCATCAAAAGGATATCGACAAGTTGGAGAATGGAATGCAGACTAAAAGGTAGATGTTTGGAGGATGTGACCATAACATGGTTTTCTAGTTTAAAACCCCAGTCCATTGACATAAGTAGCATTAGGGCAAACCGCTTGAAAGAGTCAACTGGAACTGGTGGTTGTTTTCTCAAAGGACAATAATTATTCCAAATCTATTTGTTCTGACACTAATTAATGGTATTCAAATAAAAAGCTGTTTGTTTTATATGCCATCACAATAGACTAGTTTCAAATTCCAAATTACCGCTGTGTTCCTTGATTACAGACTCATTTGCACAGGGTTAGCCTCGTATCAGTGTTTAAATATTCACAAATACCAACGGTAAAGTAAAGAATGCATAACTTCAACAATACAAACATTTTGAAACTCGACGGACCTTGACTGGAACACGTGAATATTCTGCACAAACTCGAGGCTAACCCTGTGTAAATGAGTCTGTAATCAAGAAACACAGCGGTAATTTGGAATTCGAAACTAGTCTATTTAACCTCTCATTCTCTTGAACTACATGTGATAAAAATCCATAGATTGTTAAATATAGCGCACCTTAAATTTAACTTGGGTATAATTTTGTCCCATTTTTTTTTCAAATTCTTTTAAATAAATGTGTATGTTGGGTTGGGACTAGTTTTCTATTTTTTTTTCATCAGGGTTGGGTTTGGGTGTTAATATTATATAGGGGACCTAGAGTCCTATTGTATTATCACCTGCCCTTGGGCGAATCATGAAATAAATACATAATAAATAAATACCACATATTATTTCCTAGACTACCATTTCTTTGTTTAATGGTTGCACATGTCTGAGAAGATACATGTAGAACTCTAACAAAAAATATTATTCTCAAGAGAACTACACATGGTCTGAAATGAAAAATGAAAAAATAAAAAAAAAAAGATAAAATTTGCCCAAGCTGAATTAATTGTATCCTACGTATAGATGGTTGTACTTGTTTGAATGGTAACATTATGATTGAACTTGATGATTTCTTTCATTCAGTTGATAATGATGATCAGAACCAAACAAATGCTGAAGCTGATAATGAAAGTAAGCACCATCTTGACGTCATACATATACTATACCAGTCATAACCTTTCAAAACACAAACACAAAAACATAATTTGGCTTACAATTTATAATCCTACGGGTCATGACCTTCCAATATAAAAGGTTTACTATATCATAATGTAAAGATTTTCAGTCTGTGATATATTGTGTGTCAAAAAAGGGGGAAATAACAAGCGGTAAAGGGGGGTCTGAACCCTCTGGAACACTCCCCCGGATCCAACCTTGTTACAAGATGCTGTTTCAGGATTCAATGATAATATTTTTATGCTGTTGACTCGCCCAGTTTTGAGCAGATTTGCCTTGCTTGTTTTCTGCTTCACTACAGCATATAGTGAGTGCAAAACTAACTTTATTCAATATTTTTATACGTCTTCTTTTCCCACCTTATTTATCATGTAGCACCCAATCCTATCCACCAACCAGATGCTGACAATTCTCCTGCTAAAGACCATGAAGAGAATGACCAGGAAGCCAAACAACCATCGCCTACCATGCCAGTACCATATGTCAAGGGAGAAGGGAAACATGAACCTGTTGCATCACCATCTCCCACGCCACCATCTGCAATATCTACATCAATTCAAGTAAGTTATCAGTCTCTCTGAGGATTCAGGGTTTCGAGTGTTCTAGGTTTTGATGGTCTGTCTATAATATGCAGGGAATGACGTAGCTAACAATTTGGATATTTAGACTCCTCCGCAGGCTACTCCATATATTCTCTGTTGGGATCCCTGTGTTAAATTTTATTGCAGAGAACTAGGAACGAGAGAGGAGGAGGAGTCTTTTCGTACTCGCCACGGGAACCCCAAGGAACAAAAAAGAGCTAAGGAGATACCTGCGCTAGAGGCTAGGGGATATTCACCTATGATAAGAGGGCTATGGGCCAAAATGTTGACCTCCAGGCTCTCAGAAATGCGTCTTGCGTGATTGCTCAACTCAAAATGTTCAAATTTTCTTTTGTGAATACTCCTTGGAAAGTCTGTGATGTTTCTCTTGGGTATCCAGCACAAACCATATTAACTGTTACCTGAGTGAGAAGGGGGTGTTTACCACAACACATAGCCTGGATCATGAATGCGTTAATATCGAAGCATGTTTTTGTGGTAATTGATGAACAATTGTAATATTGTTTTCATGCAGGAATCGACATCACCACAAGCACCAGATGAACCACCAGCCGGTCTTGATATTCCTTTTCTATACCGGGTAAGTAGTGGGAATTATGATCCATCTATCCCATCCCATACATCCTATTCGTCTATTTTATCCATACCTACTAACTATAAGTTCATCTATCTCATTCAAAACATTTCATTTGTCTATCCCATCCATTCACTCTACCCATTCATTTACAACACCCATCCATCCCATTCCACACATTCCATTCATCTATCCATCCATCCTATCCAACCATTCCCCCTTCCATTCACCTACCAAACATAACCCATCCCATCTCTCCTTATAGTTAGACATTCAATCGCCCATTCGCACATTTTTCGTTGGAACATTTTTTTATTATTATTGCGTTAAAGTTTCAAAATACTGTTTGTTTTGTCGCCATATGTAGGTTCGTGCTACTCACAAGTATGTAGCCGAAGATGACGACGAGTTATCGTTCGAGAAGGGCGAAATCATTTACGTCCTTGAATTCGATGATCCCGATGAACAGGTTCGTTAAGTGTAGATAGCTTTCCTTTTCCAACTTAGTGTCCTTTATTCCTTCTCTCTCTCTCTCTCTCTCTCTCTCTCTCTCTCTCTCTCTCTGCCTTAATTGTAGCCCATTTACAATCCATTCCCATCTTCTTGTGTTTTTCTTCCTTCTTAAGTTCATATTCCCTGATAATGCATGGTTCTGAATCCTCTTAGTTACCGTTATTGTTCCACAAGCGTAACACATTATCTAGAATATCTCAAAATTAAAACTCTGATCACACAAAATTTATTATAATTTGTTTCAATAGTTTACTGCCCTGCGAAAAGAATAGAACATTTCCTGTTAATCCTCGTAGTACTCTTTACAACAGATACTGCGTAGTTGTTTGTGGGACAATATTTTAATTCCACTGGGAAAACAGCTGCAACGGTGATTGGTTTTAAAGGGCCGATAGCTCGGACACATACATTCTAAAATTACGAAAATGTTTTTTGTTCTATTGAAACCTACGTACAACTTATCAGATTTTTTTCCCATCCAGGATGAAGGATGGCTGTTGGGCATTATGGAAACGTCAGGACTAAAGGGTGTCTTCCCGGCCAATTTCACTCAAATAATTAAAACTTGACACGCGTCACGCGACAACTCCCAGTATTAGGTGTGTGTATGTATCTTTTTTATTATTTTACAATCTTCAAAACAATATACAGCGCTCTCGGGACTTCAAAGGCTTTTACTTGACTGTTCTAAATAACACAGGCCACTAGCCATTACAGAGGTTGAGGAAAAGACTGGGCCGAGTTGGCATTGCAGTGAATTGTGGGACGGTTTAGGGTTAAAAAATTAACGCCTTGTTTGAAGTGTGCCCAAAACAGGCCCACAATGCACTGCAATGCCACCTCGATCCAGTCTTTTCCTCAACCTCGGAATGGCTATTAGTTTGAAGTAATTCAGTCTCCGACCGATTTTTATTTTTAGTCAGGCCATTCTAAACAGCTCCTTTCATGTAATCTCTTAAAACAGCGGTTATCAGAACACACGACACACAGATCCTTGAAGGTTTTCCTGTCTTCCACACGTTGTAATCTATATTTGGTTGTTTTGGACCAAATGCTAGCAGCTCTAGTTGAAGAGCAGCGGAATAATTCCTTTTCACTTTGACAAATACCGCTGTGACACTTGAATGCGGACTCGTTCGTACAGGTTTAGCCTCATTTGCAAGCAAATCATTCGCCAATCGAAAGTCAAATAGCTAGCTTATAGACGAGTCAGTCTAAACCTGTATAGACAAGTCTTTGGTCATCAAGAACAGCAGTATGCAATGGAATTTATTGTCTTATCCAAGAAAATGAACTCCGCTGTCTATCAAAAGGTCTATCTACTCGAAGTCCATTCGTGGTTTTTATATTAGTTTTTAACCATTGAGTCTATTGAGACATTGATGTTGTACGCGAAGATTTTTTAACCTATATTATTCCAATCTTGTCGTGGCCCTTGGAGTCCATCTCAAGATTCAACTGTTCTACTACTACTGCTCTTCCCAGTAGCTCTAGGCAGTTGGGATTTTTTTATCACCTTCGTAGCCACCACATGATGCCAATGTTGTACCACGTGGACAAGTTTTTTTTAACACCACGTGACCGAAGTGCAGTTTTTATCAAGTGGTGTACAAAAAAACTTGTTCGCTTGGTAAAACATAGGCATCACGTGGTCAATTTGAAAAGCACTTGTGGTTAACATAACAGACGCTTGGTCTACTCTACGGAAAGAGTAGTAAACCCACTCCTTAGCTAGCCCTTCTAAGAAGGATCCTCGCTAGTAAACATCACGTTTGAGAGCTCTTAGAAATTTTGTCATTTTTTTCCAGCATGCTGTTGCACGGCATCACAAATATGTAACTAGGGGAGAGAGGTGTGTACCATCGCTGTTCGGGCTGAAAGTCGCAACCATGCACTCAAGATTAAAGGGATATTTCTTGGCCCCTGAAACAAATTAGTGACTAACATTCCAAGTAAAACAAAAGAAAACAATGGAATTTTGGCCCGATACTATGAATTACGTTGACTATCCTTTCACGTGTGTCATGCAACGACAAAATATTTAAAAATCCAAGAATTTTAGCTATTTGAAATCATGGAAATATATAAAATACTATAGCCTATTCAAATTATTTGGTAAAAGAAGTTTTAAAGAAAGGATAGATACTTTAGAATTTAGTTAAAAAACAGTGTATTTTATCTAATAGTTTAGCGTACACTTGTATATAAGATTAAATTGGGTGTGCTAATATTAGTGCGTGCAATGCTACTGATCTCTAACAAACTTCTTCAGAAGTCAAATTGATGAACTATAAGGGACTCTTTCACTTTGGGCATATATTTCGTAATTCAGACCAAAGAAATTATACCAAACGGGGTTGGAAATAGTAAAAAAACAACATTATGTCCACATTGAAAAGCGTCTATCGTATATCGTACTTCTTTCTTAATTTCCTTCTAAAGTTTTAGTGTCTAGTAAGTCTCAAGAAAGTAATAGTATGGATAGCCGCCATGTTGGATGAAGAAAATATGAAATTTCTCCACCGGTCATGGCGGCGCTGTAAGTGACATCAAATACAGTGGAATAAACATTACTGACATGTTTTTTTAGAGTTGCTTTTGGTGTTTCTGTGACCCAGACAAGAAAACCAGATCATAGTCGCCATGTTGAATGACAAAATTATTAACTCCCTTCAACATGGCGGTGCTGTACGTTTGAAATGATGAGTCGTCTTGGGTTTCTGTGAGCCAGGCGCAATTCGTCATCTTGCTACCATTCAAATTTACCATGATCTGAGTTCATGGATGCTTTGATTGACAGAAGCCAAAAACTTAGACTTCTAGAAGTTGAGGAACACACAGAAACATGAAAACAGGTCTAGCAGGGTAACTTCTTGCGATAGAGTGGTTTCACATCAGCCATGTATAAGGGCAGCAAAAATGCAATGTTTTAAATAAACTTTTTCTGCTGGCGAACATGGTGAATTATGGTATATCTTTGGTGCAAACATCTTTTATTTTCATCATGCCTTAGGTTGTTGGAACCTAAGCTATACCACAATGCATCCTGTTTATGGAACTCAGAAAAGGCATATGACAAGGGATTTTATTTACCCAAAAGAAAATTCCTGTAGTTTTGCGCAACAACATGTCTGCCGTCAAACCCCACCATAATCTACGAATATATTAAATTTTAACCAATAGTAATTTATCTCCTTGACTATAACATTAAACTCTCACTGTTATCAAATATCTTTATTGGTAACTTAACCGGTTTTGTTCAAATCTACAATATTTTTTATTTCTAACTGTAGTCCATATTCGCTTATTTCATCGAATAGAGTAAAATAATCGTAGATTCTTGTCATTTTATTACTAGATTTTTTAAATAAATTTTATCTAATTGAATGTTTCCTTGTCTGTTTTACTATACAGTTATTTAAAGAAAAGGTTGGTGAAGATTTTGTTGTATGCTGGATGTTGCATACCAAGCCCGAAATGCGCTATGGGTGATGTGAATGCCATCAGGTCACACTGAGCGAAATCATCTTCTTTATTAACGCTTAACTTGTCTTCACGTTTTTCCAGCATAATTTCTTCTGTGCCGATATTATTTACATACGAATGTAACATATTTCAAGCTTAGTATACACCATGCAACATGCAAGCAAAACCTTCATCAACTTGTTTTTGAAAAAGCTGTATACGAGTCTGTCACAACCTCTAGCTCGTTATTTATTTTTTCGTGTTTTCTTTTTTTTTTTTTTTTTTCCCTCCCTTTTTGTTAATTTATCATTAGCCGAGATCACCTGACTGTCTCTACACTGCTACCCTGGTATCTCTCTTCAGTACTTCCAAGTTTCCTTATTACCATGGCCAAGAGGCGCTGGAGGGAAACATCCTACTGCACCCAAGATATTATGTTTCACAAAACGTTTTTTTTTGACTTATAACCATTAAATTTATAGTTAAGAGAAACTTTTCCATAGAGAGAGGCCTTTTGCTTAGGAGGCAGCACACTAACCAACCAAGCCACACTTGCTCCTTAAAACAGGTGTGTTAGGTCACTGAGTTTTCAAACTAATGGTCTTTTTGCTTAGGAGGCAACACACTAACCAACCAAGCCACACTTGCTCCTTAAAACAAGTGTGAGGTCACTGAGGATCAAACGAATGGTCTTCTTGCTTAGCAGGCAAGACACTAACCAACAAAGCCACACTTTCTGCATAAAAAAAGTGTGTGAGGTCACTGAGGATCAAACTAATGGTCTTCTTGCTTAGCAGGCAAGACAGTAACCAACATAGCCACACTTTCTCCATAAAGCTAGTGTGTGAGATCACTGAGGATCAAACTAATGGACCTCTTGCTCAGCAGGCAAGACAATAACCAACCAAGCCACACTTGCTGCTTGCATTCCGTTGAGCATGCGAAGCAAGAGTGACAAGACTCTTCAGAGGAGAGCGACCCGGCATGAGCTTGAAAAGTTTGTTATCATTCGATTATCAAGTCTGCCAAATTCTGATTGGTTGAAGCAACTACAAATAATTGCGCACAAATAATCCTAGTGTTGTCATGCGCAGTGTAAAAACTCGTTTTTCCCGCAAATAATGGTCTGCGCATGTGCATTAACGACCACTGATTTATGTGCGGCACATGTAATCTTTCGGAAGAGCACGTCGAAAGTACTCCTGGAGGAAAAGCTAGCGACTGTACGAAAATCACCTAACAATCCATCGAATGCTTACTTACGCAATAATTACTTTGAATTGTTTAGTACTTCATTCATTTATTCTCTGTATACCTTCTTCTTGTATGCTTCGAGCTGCTGGAAGTACGACTGTGGCGGCCATCTTTGATGTGTCACGTCCTCTTTGTCCTTGGGCTTGAGCAGGGCAAGGTCTTCATGGGACTCGAAGTCTGGGAAGTTGGTCTTGATGGTGAACACACACCACTTGGACAGCTGAGTTGCGTTGTGAGCCTGGAAAGAAACAACGAAACAGGTTGCAGGTCGTAGAGAGTTTGAGGAGAGCATCGTGGTTGTAATTAAGGTTGGCGTGGCGGTAATGCACTTGCCAATCAACTCTAGAATTTCGGATTTGATTTCTAGACTCGGCATCAGAAGAGTTTGTTAGGTCTCTCCCTTATTGATTCGAGGGTCTTTATCGAGGTTCCCGATTTCTTCCCTCCGCAAAATCTGACAATTTAAAAGTTCAGTTTGACTTCTTTGAGTTAGCCGTGCCCTGATATAGATCAGCCAAGAGGTTGCTTCAGGGTTCGATCACTTTGAGTTAGCCGTGCCCTGACATAGATCAGCCCAGAGGTTGTTTCAGGGTTCAATCTGTGAGTTAGCCGTGCCCTGACTTAGATCAGCCCAGTACGCTGTTTCAAGGTTCGATCTGTGAGTTAGCCGTGCCCTGACTTGGATCAGCTCAGAGTTTGTTTCAGGGTTCAATCTTTAAGTTAGGCGTGCACTGACTTTGATAAGCCCAGAGGTCGTTTCAGGTTATTGATATAAAATGTGAAGGCCTTTTTAAAGTCCCTTCCAGCCATCAGTGGATAGTCCTACCTGTGCAAGGAGCAATGTCTCGATCACATCGCCACAAGTTTCGTTACTCAAATGCATTCTTTGCCTCATTTCCGTCTTCAATTTTTGCGAAATGGAGAGCTCACAAAGTGAGCGCAACCTCGGAAGACAAAACTTATCACTCAAAACCAACAGCTGCCTGCTGTCTGTTGGGAATGTTGGTAAGGAATCCGTGTACAGATACTCTAACATCGCAATGAAGGCACTCGCAGATGCGTCACAAATATGAACCTATTAAAAAGAACAGTACAAAAATGGGACACTTTATTTTGGGCGTAATCAGTGTTTTTCTAATTCACGTATCGTTCTCACTGAGATTAATATTCTTATAGAAGCTTTGCATCGATGGATGGCAGCCATGACAGAAGGCACAACTTCGGCCTCCTGTCATGGCTGCCATTAGGAGATGGTGCCAAGTTTCTATTAGCCCAAAAAGGTTGTTGGAACCAAAGGTGAATTAGCAATAAGGGATAAATCATAGACGGAAAAGAATTACAGTTGTACCTCTATTAAGCGGACACCCTTGGGATCTTGTCTGTCTCCCGCTTTGACAAGATTCCTGCTTTTATATGCTTAATAAAGTAGGGGTCCGCATTCTAAACATAAATAATTAAGGTGTTTAAATTGGATTCTTCCACTACAATCTATAACGCTTGCTGATTACTTAATATATAGTTACCCTCCGTTTTCTTGACGAGACAAATAAAAAAGAATCACAATTCATTCCAGCTATTCTTGGTATCCGATCTTAGAATGATCTATCTCCTATCACTTTTGGTCTTTGGCTCCGACAACCTTTTTCTTAGGTGCGTACTTTGTTATAAAGCTCAAATGCATGACTCTACTGTACCTCATTGGTGCTGCTTTCCTTAAATCCTCCACCCAACATGGCGGCCAACACATCTGACCTCGCCATCAGCACAGCCTTGTGACCAAAAACCCTTGTTCCCTCAACAACAAAAGTAACATCTGCAAGTAGAGGTTTATTGACGAACAACTCCTTTGCTACCACATTCTTGTTCTCTTTCGCGTTCTCGCAAGCATTTTTGTTTGCATACTCTTCTTTCTTCAATGCGTTTTCACAGCACTCGGCCAGCTCTGGGAGCGCAGCAAGTTCAGCTAGTTCTGAAACATGTTTGATGACTCTTTGTTGGGTTTCTGGGTTACTCCTAAATTCCAACGTGTATAAAAAGTCCAACACGTAGGCAAACGCTTCCTGGAATTCCCACGTCAAATCGAGTCGCATAACGTTTATATCATTTTTAGTGACTTCTTGGGGGAGCGATTCTCCTTGGCATTTTTTCGGATCCTTAACTGAGTGGTCATGTGATACAAGCAGATCCCTAAAAAAGCTGGAGCCCATACAGAGTACCACTTTATGTGCCTTGAATAATTGGGTACCGGTCGAGTAGGCTAGAGTGATATCTGAATGGCAGTAACTGGTTAGGAGTTTTCTCATATCTGAGGCGTAGGTTGATGGTAAGACTGTAATCGTGACTTCATCAGGACCTATATAAAATTAATTAAAAATTCATCATTGTTTAAATAGTACTTTCAAACTCGGTTAACCAGACCCCTTTCGTTCATAACGCAAGAGCGGGTCAAGGGAAATACCTCAGTATTGGATTTTGTAATGACGTCTGACCAGATTTTGGAGAAATGGTTAAAACAACGTATAACGTCATGTTTTCAGTATCCTCAACGACAAATTCGGCGGGTCTCTCGTGTGAGCCAACTATGTTTGAGGGAGTTTACACCACTTGGTCGAGAGGGGTCTAGGTTAGGTAACCGAGACTATACAGCACTGTGCAAATGCGTAACCAATCTCGTACCCAGTGTCCTCGGGTTTGATGGTCAACCCTTTGACCAAAAAGGGCACGACATTACGGGTACGAGATAGATGCGTAGCCTGGATGAAAACGTGTGCGCATGCGTGCTTTTTGTCTTGTCTTTTTTCAAGAACGGACGTTTGGTGCTTAGTGAGAAAAGAAAAACATGTTTTTCTCGACTATGTTTTAAGGATAAACATTAATGCTGCTGATTGAGCCCAAAACAGGGTTTTCTTTTGTTAGATCGACCAATATGGCCGCCAAGCTTCTCTATCTGGGCCCGGTTGTACGAGGCCGATGGGTAAATCTTATCCAGTGGATAAATTTATTGGATAACAGTATCGACCGGATAGCGCTATCCACTAAGGCTTCGTACAACCGGGCCCTGTACTAAGTAAACTAAAACAAACCTGGATGTGGAAGCAAGGGAGGCTCCAAGTCGTAATCAACCAGCTTAGTTGGTGTGGTTTTTCTATTTTGAAAAAGCTTGAATCTCTTTTTTCCTCTTTCGGATTTTCGTTTTTGAACTGCTCTCCTCAACGCTGTGGCGATAGTTTCTTGAACGCCTTGGCCGGTCCTTGCGCTGTTTTCACAGTAGACTGTCTCTAGTCTGGTGGCAAGTTCGGTACCCTTTGAAGGGCTAAGAAGATGCTGTATTCTACTTGACAGTAGAGTAAGAAACATTATGGCAGCCTGTTAATAATTTATTATCATAACTAGCATTGTGGTTCATTTTGTCCGCCGCCATCTGCCAATCAGAAATTAAAATAGAAAAATAATTTATCCAGGCAATGATACCGAGAGAAACCACTCAATTGTTTAGCTTGCCGAAATTTTTTTGTTTTGTTTTTCTTTTCTTTTCTTTTCTTTTCTTTCGTTTTTGTTTCTTTTTTTGGTTTGCTTTTTGCTAGCTGACGTCTTTGCATGGAGCTCCCACCATTTTTTTCCTTTTCACTCATTTGTTTATTTTTCTCATGCTTTGTTTTTCATTTTCTTTAATTTGCTTTCCCATTCACTCTCTTTTTTTTTTTTCATTTTTATAATAAATACTTTATTAAAACAAAGACGTKTCACTTTACAATATACAGATATACACAWAAAGCTATACATAACATTTTCKGTCTCTTTTCCTTATATTTCTTATACACGTTTTCACTCTCATTATTCTTCTCTTTCATTCTCATTAAAACTATATCGGTCACGTATCTCAGAATGAGCTGAATGGTATGTGCCCAGAGCCTATCTACCTAAGCTCAAACTTATAAATAATAAATAAATTTTTCACTCCCATTCCCTCTCATTATTCGTCCGTTTCATTCTCATTTAAATTATATATCAGTCACGTATCTCAGTATGAGCTGAATGATGCCCAGAGGAGTACCGGTGGCGTGCGCTGCTAATGCGCCGCCTCTCACTAATGCGGCCCGAGTTTGAGTCCTGCCGATCTCGATGTCGTATATGAGTAGAGATGTTTGGTGGTTCTCTCCTGTGCTTCGAGGGTTTTTCTCCGGGTTCTCCGGTTTTCCTCCCTCCTCAAAAATCAACTTCTAAATTCTAATTCGATCTTTGGGCTTTCACTTAGTTTGGAGCCTAGCTCTTTTGTTATTGTCCCACGCTGTGATACATCAGCGAAAGCTTTGTAGAGCTTAGTAAGCTTAAAAGCACAAATATAACATAATGGGTGAATTTAGAATAATTAGCCCAGCGAATATGCTTTTTGGTTTTCATTTAAATAACAACCTACCAAAACCGTCTGCTTCTGTCAAAATGCAAATTATATTCGGCTCAAGTTTAATTAATGGTTTAACAAAAATGGTTTAAACATTGGTATTATTATATATATATCTATGTTAGCATATTGTCATTAATGATATATATGTTTTTACAAACGGCTGAAAAATTATACATATTTATCTTAATACATTTATATAATATATAATATAAAACGCGAACGCTTTTTTTTTTTTTTTAAATTTTCCTACTGCATAAACGCACGTACGAGTAAGCTAAGGTTAAAAGTTATAGATCTTTATTTATCGATGAAACTTAATATGTTATCGCATTTTCCAACACGTTTTATCCATATAAGTCATTAAAGATATTTGAATGGCGTACGATAACATTAGAGATATATTAGAGATATATTTTCACCTTTCAACCGTAAAAAGCATAAAAAATTTTGTTTAAATGACATAAGATATTAATAAAAATACATTCGAGATGTATTGGGATTTCTTAAAGCCTAACATTATATGGTTTTCGCCACTACTTATCTCGTCGAAATTGTTGGCACTATATTATTGTCGTCCTTCTCTAACCGTGAACACTCGAGTTTATTTTATTTGTTCCTATTTTTACTTTCTCTTTTATCATTTCATCTCCTAGAATAGCTTTTATAGACTTTCAATACATGCATCTCGAATCCTATATTGTTTTGGATTTGGTTGACTGAAATTCGGGTGTTCAATTCACAGTTTAGAGTACTACGACAGTGACCTGTACGTCATCTAGATCTTCGATATTGCATTTGTATGATCATTTAAGTCCTATCAATTAAACCGTTTCATATCATAGCTGTTATGCATTTTTATTTCTGCCTGAGCTTAATTAAATGTAGCTGTAAATTAACTCTCTTTTAAAATAAGATATATGTATCATGGCGACATGTTTTATTCAAGTAAGCCGTTGACCATTTTGAATCGTATAAAATAGAAACACGTTTTCATTGTTTTCCTGTATTTCACTTTACCCTTTGTTAGCTTTCTCACCAACACCAAACACAATTTTCCTATTTACTGAACACTCGGGGGGAAAATTCACTTTTTTTTTTCTAATAATATATTTTTTTCTTAACTGTGAACTGACACTCGGGGGAAAATTCACTTTTTTTTCCCCTAATAATATATATTTTTCTTAACTGTGAACTGACGGCTCTCGTTTGCCGTTTTCTTATATAACATTTATCACAAGGAAAGGCTTTTTTTATCGGGGGGAGGGTTGGAGAGGGGCCGGGTATTCGGAGGGCCAAGGTTCATCGATAAAAACTTGAACTTTCCGGCGTAGCTAGAGGGCTAAACCTTTATATTTTGACGAAAGCTGCTTCCTTGTTGCCTAACTTCAATGTTGAACTGATTTTAATAGGAGAGTCATATTTTTTTACGAAGTAAGGGGGGGNGGCTATATTAGTACAACCATCTCTAAAAAGCTGGCTATGAATAATCTCTAATAATATCTAGTTAAGAAAAAGTTCTTGAAAAACTAGCGTTGCATTTCAGAAATGACACCACGCATTGAATGAAGATTTATTGATATTTTCGCAATTTTACACGTACCGTTTAACACGTAAAATATTTCGTAAATTTAGAGTTATAAACTAAATGGTTCAAAACTCTTTGCAGCTGCTTACAGAACCGAAATTTATGAATTACCTTTATATATCAGGAAATGAGCTTTAAAGGTTGCTGAACAAAAAGCATCACTTTTCTTTTGATTCAACTCTGCTGTCGAATCATGTCAGCTAATGGACTGACAGTAAATGACGGACTATTCTTTTATTCAAACTTTTTTTGTAAATGCTTTATTAATGTGTTTTAATTAATTTTTGCTTTTGTTATTCATACGCGACCTCAGAAATAAGCACTTCTGTTTAGCTCGTATACAAAARGGAAAGGCTTTGGTCGATAACATTTTAATTTCTCAAACGAATCTAGCATGAATGAACTCAAAGCTACCAGTAGATTGTAAATTCACTACCAGATATAATAAATGATATATATAGTCCTCGCCGCTTAGTTTACTACGTCTTTTTATCGTGACGAGTTTTGAGCCATTTACAAGGGAGGGAATTTTTAAATAGCAAATCAATTAGCACTAAAATATCAGTGAAAAAAGAGATAAAGGATCTTACCCTGTTGAGCGGAGGTCGGCTTTGTTCCCGACCACGATCAAAGGAGTGCCTGCCATGTAGTGTTTCAGTTCTGGCGCCCAAACCGTAGAAATGTTTTGAAACGAGTTTGGACATGAAATATCAAAACAGACCAAGAAAACATCGGTATCCCCGTACTCCAAAGGACGCACTTTGCTCAAATCGAAGTCATCGGACGATCGCATAGTACAAGTATCCCAAAACGTAACCACATATACTTCTTGGTCAATCGTAGTGTTTATCAAGTAGGAATCTAGTACTGGAGGAACTGACGTTGGATCCAAGCGATTATCGTCGTCTGATGAAGAGTTTTCACAGTATATCCGAGCTAATAAAGAGGTCTTGCCAACACTAGGGTCCCCAACCACTTTAACTTTCAAGGATCGCATCTTCTATACTTTACAGTATCCGATTTAGATAGCACGGTTTAAATCCTGTTCAATTCTTCCCAGTATTTACCGAGTTCGTAATGAATACTCTTTACTAGGGTCTCTCTGGCATCAAGTCTGACTGATTTTCGAAAAAAAAATTAATTCCGCGACTACAGGCAAAGTTGATTGGAGCCTTTAGGGCCAGGTGGAATAGTGGGAAATAATCAAGTTGACAGTAGACAAGACGAACTTACTTCCTACTCTTATGCTCACTTCAATCTTTGTATTGTTTGAAATTATTTTATTCCAAAAACTTGTGGATTCAGAACACATTTGAGTTTTATTTTTGTTTTCGTGGTATCAATTAACACATGGATTAAATAAGATGATCTGTCAAGTGCTTAATTATTCAGTCATTCGCATTCGCAAGTAGCTTTGTTTTGTCACGTTATTGCGAATTCGTTGCGTGACAACGAAGAAAATTATTTTTATGAGGAAAAAGATTAACGATGCTGTATAATTAATCAGAGTATATGTTATTATTGAAATAAATTTTATTCGACCAAAATATAGTCTCCTAAACAACCGCTATTATTGTCGTCACGCACTAATTCTTCGATTACACACGTTACGCAGCGGAGGAAACTATGAAATTATGTGCTATTTTTCATACTTAGATAATATATTGCGTGACACTACGGAAAAAATCATTAGTCGATGACCGAGTATGACATCATCGCTGCGCTGATTGGCTGGTTATTTTTAACTACTTGTGTCTATAAAACCATGATCACTTAATCTATGAGTACAGAAAACTTCAAGGCAGTAGAACTGCTTTCGAGAAAAGTATTCTTTTATCAAAGAAAATGCAACATTTTAAGGTAGTGGTTGTTGGAGACGGAGCTGTTGGAAAATCTTGTCTGCTTATTGCCAGCCAAACTGGCTCTTTTCCTTCTGAATATGTGCCTACGGTGTTTGATAATTACAGTGCAAGCAACATTCTCGTTGATAATCGTGCTTGCAGTGTTAGTTTGTGGGATACAGCCGGGCAGGAAGACTACGATAGGCTAAGGCCGCTGTCTTATCCTGATACGGATGTATTCTTGGTTTGTTTTGATGTATCAAACAGAAATTCGTTTGAGAATATCGAGCACAGATGGATACCTGAAATTAGACACTACTCTGCTGACTCTGCGAATATTTTGGTAGGAACTAAGATAGATCTAAGGTTAAACGCTGCTAAAAACTCCAGGTAAGCAAAATAAGGAAGGGAAATTATAGACAGAAATCTTTGAATCGATAGTCATTTTTTTTTGTACTCTATCAATATTTTGGCTATTGTATTTAGAATGCTTGCAAGATTTAGGAAGAACGTAAAGTCTAAAAGGCCGGGTATTTTGACTTTATTTTTGAACGAAATAATGTTCCGAATAATCTAGTAACTGAGAAGAGAAATCTTATTGGGGTTAATTCATCAATTATTTCCTATATTTGTTCATTACTATACTCACTCGCTCGCTCAAACAATCACAAATTAATTCATGCATGTATTCATTCATTCCTTCCTTAAAAAAGGACATTGACTTTTTTGTATATAAAACATGTCGATTTTTCACGAAATTTCACAACCAACTTATTCCAATACGTCCATTTTTATGTTTGCTTTGTTGATGTATTTAACGTAATAATTTAGTTTTCCTGCGTCAAATCACTAGATCTCCCCAAGACTATGTGACGTATGAAGAAGGCAGACAACTCGCTGGTAGACTCGGTATCTCTACCTACTTGGAATGCAGCGCTCTCACCCATGAAGGGATCGATGCAGTCATCCCTACGGCTGTGCGTACAGCCGTTCGTGAAAACTCCGGCTCCAAAAAGGAATCATCCCACTTTTGGTTCCTTGGCAAAAAGATATTCTCTGGAAAGAGTGATTCCAAATCAAATGAGCCGCGACCGCCAGTCATGCCACCTGCAGGTTAGAGTCAATTCATAATCCAATATGGCAGGCATGTTGGAGATAATAACACAAAAGTATACCTCCGATATATACTGGCCATGTTGAATCTAGTTAAAACAAACTTATTGTTTCCAATATGGTTACTTTGATTTACAGGTAATTAATTAAGGCGCTGAAATACGAGACACAAAAACGTCCAACTTGTCGCGCAGCATTGTTGCGGTGTGATTTCTAAAACAATGTTGCTCCTTTTACATCCCATCTATCCAACTTGTTACGCAACAAAATCTTGTTGCGAAGAGTAGAACGTAGATCAACTTTCTGCAACAAATTTGCGATTTGTTGCTCGTTTTTCATCACTCGTCCAACTTGTCACGCAACATTTTATGTGCAGAAGCGGCCGCCATCGTGAATTATGTACCTTGTAGCCAATCAGCGCGCAGAATATCACCTTGATAGTCCCGACTTGCAACATTAGATTTTGTTGCGTGACAAGTTGGATAGATAGGATGTAAAACGAGCAGCATTGTTTTCGAACTTGCACCGCAGCAATGCTGCGCGACATTGAACGTTTTTGTGTCTCGTATTTCAGCGCCTTTTAAAAAAACATACTTTAAAATCTCTATTTTTGCGTTCTCAAAAGAAAAAAATCATCCTATCAATTAATTAACAAATTAAAAATCAATTAAAAATAAACTAAAAATAAATATATACAAATGCATTGTAAATTTGTTTCTATTTTTTACCAGGACTAGCACCACGGATTGAAATCACAACATCAACATTTGCAGATGAATGGCGTGAAGTTCTTACTGGTCAAGACACGAGCTGTACTGATGTCAAGTTTATCGTTGCACCGGACAACTTCGTGCTTCATGCTCACAAAGTCGTCCTCACTTCATCGTCAGCCATCTTCAAAGACATCTTCACAAGCCCTAAAAAATCGAACCAGGTTTCCAAAAGGTATTCCCAGCTGTTTGAAGAAATCAAATGAATTCATAACAAAGCTTCGAATAGGGAATTGAATTATCTAAATAATCTAAACTTACCAGATTCAGTTATGGACGAGACAAACGAAAGCGAATGTGTCGAGATAACGCTAAACAAAAGCATCCACTTTGATGTCTTCATGAGGATCTTAGAATTTCTCTACACTGGTTTACCGGGATTTTCTGAATCAGAAGACGCAGAATTCGTACAGGAAATCAAACAAACAGCCGATATGTTTGGTTTAGACTGGCTAAAACAAGTGTGCGAAAATAATCAAAGCAACGAAGCGTTTCTTAACCCTAGTATCGGAACGTGGTTGAACGATGAAGTCGGCTCCAACATGAAGCGACTGTTTCTTAATAAACCACAAATGAGTGATGTGAAGTTTCGTGTAGTAGTATAGGGAATGGGGGTTCCAGCGCAATCTCAACACGGGGTAAGACCCGCGTCAAAAATCCACCTACGGAC